CTCTGGTCGTCGTCTTCGTCGTCCTCTTCCTTCACTTCTCCCTCTTCGAGGTCGTCGTCGTCGTCGAGCTCTCCTAAAGGGACACAAAGAGGGCGTCAGAGAAGACACTCTTCTCTTTGAACACACGAACCCTCGTCTCTGTCCGACAACTCATTCGTCTGTTTGTGGTCTTCGTTGTGATCTTTGATCTCTTCCTCGAAGTCGAGCTCTTCGTCCGACCGCTGGTTTTCGTGCGACTCTTCGTGTGTTTGCGACAACTCGTCTTCGGAGACAATTGTTTCGCAAATTAAAGACATTTTCGCCGAAAACACGATTGAAATGTATATTCTTTGCAAACAAAATGGCGGCAAAACAGAGAGCTTTCGCTTCACTGGGAGTCATGACAACCGCTCGCATCTCGCGTACAGCTCTGCGCACACTTTTGTTCCCTCTTTGCACTCATTCTGCACTCAATCGTCAACAAAGTCGTCAACAAAGTGCGAGCGAAGGCGGCGTCAAAACAAACCAAAACAAAACCAAAACAAAGCGATGGCCGAAGACGCGGACGTCTTGCGTCAGGTCTGGCACTCGTATCTCCCGATCGCCTTCCGGTTGGCCGCCAATGAGGTGACGAGTCTTCAGGAACCCGATCCCTATTACGTGAGTCGCTCTTTCTGATGGCCGAAGACGCGGACGTCTTGCGTCAGGTCTGGCACTCGTATCTCCCGATCGCCTTCCGGTTGGCCGCCAATGAGGTGACGAGTCTTCAGGAACCCGATCCCTATTACGTGAGTCGCTCTTTCTAAGCAAACAGCCTTTCAGTGTCTCTTCGCAGGCAATGGTCTCTCGGATGACGTATTTTCCGCTCGTTTTGGAGAAAGTCGTCAAACATTTGAGTCGTTTTTGCGCCCAAAACGCCGCCCAAAATAACGACCTTTGGCTCGACTTCGAGGGAACGCCTCTCAAGTGGTCAGTAGTGGACAGAAAAGCTGTTGACAACAACCCTAACCCCCCTCTGATAGGCACTACCCGGTGGGCGTGCTCTACGACCTCCTCGGCGCCGACTCGTGTCTCCCGTGGACTCTGAGCGTCCACTTCGAGGGCTTCCCGGAGGACGCGCTCGTGCGCTGCAGTTCGCGCGCCGCCATCGAAGCGCACCTCATGTCGGGTTTGAAGGAAGCGGACGCTCTTCGGAACCGATCGCAAGTGATGTCTTCGCTTCAGCGCCGAGACCACAACCAGCTGTGGCTCGGGCTCTCCAACGACCGCTTCGACCAGTTCTGGGCCGTCAACCGCTC